CCTATCGCTCCATAGCATAACACACACAAACATAACAATTTTGTTAACAATTTGATAATTGATAATAAGTTAATGTTATAATTAGTTTGAATTGAATGAATGATTTGAAATAAATTCAATATTATTGTTTTACTTGTAAAATATATAATAAAATATAAAGCAATTATTTTGTTATAAAGCCTTGAAATTAAATTATATATCAAACGTAACAATTGTAAAAATTTCATTTCAATAATGTTTGATGTTTAAATTTTAAAGGTTAAACAAAATTGAATTACCTATATTTCATATAAGTATAAATTTATTGTAAGAAATTTATTGCCAAATATTTTGCTATAAATGCAATATTTTCAAAAACATCTAATCATATTCTGTTTTATAGATTTTATTAATATTCAGACGCTTTTATAATATTAGTTTATACTGTTTTAATTTATTTAATTCATTAGAATTGCTAATTATATAATTACCAACACAATCAATAATATTACAAAAGAATAATGAATAGAAAATATTGCCATAGTAATAGTACCATGTTATTTCACCACTTTAATAACATAATGTACCACATTATTAATTGAACCACAATTTATCGGGTCTATGACATTTACTCAAAAGTCACTTGCTCGAAACCCATTTGTTCGAAGACATTTGCTCAAATACACTTGCTCAAAAATTTATAAATGTCATTTTAACATAATAATAATTATAAAACATAATTTACAAACAATAATTGTAACAACAATTGCAATAAAATTCCATTTTACTATATAATGTGTATAAAATATCAAATAATTAATAAATATTGTTATTTTTGTTACAAAATGTTGAATATTTATTGAAATATTTCAATAAGTTAATATTTTTGCAATAAACCACACAAGGAAATCACACTACCATGCTATATATTAATTACAATTCGGGTGATGTTCAAAAAATAGATTATCATTATCTATACACTTAATATGAGTACCATAGATTTAGGGTTATAAATAGACCTTATAATGTCCATAGGATAAGTATTGCCCATTTAAAACCTGTTTAACAAAAATATGCCATAGTGTAAGGTTTATACTGTAAATGAACAGAATATCAACTATTAGTTAGATTTTAAAAATATTTTGAAAAAATTTTTGAGCAAAATTCTGATATATTTTTTTAGTTATTTGTATAGCAACAATTTTTGTATTATAATAAATTATAAGTATTTTTTGAAAAGATATTTTAAGATTATATAAATCAGAAATATTTAATAAAATTATTAAAACAAAAACTATGTGCAACATAAAATTATTATTATTGTTATGAAATTATATTTATTGCTTTATAATTAAATTTTTGTTGACATCCTTTAAAATATTTAATTAAAAGGTTTATTTTGCAAACAATTTCTAAAATATTAAACAATAATTGTTATAAACAGTTATAAACAATAACTTATATTAGGTTATATAATTTATAACAATTATTGTTAATTCTGGATCAATTCGTCACATTTAAATAATTCATTTATAGTTAGTTGCATAATATTTATTTACATGCAATTTAAATATTGGATATTAATTGTAAATATAATATTTTTATTAATATTAATATTTTAAATAAAAATACAAATTCTGTGATACAGTATTTGATAATTAAATATTGTTGAAACCGTATTAAATAGTAATTACAAATATTAAATGTTTTGAAAATAAAAATATTTAAAACAAAATAATTAACCCAACATAGTTTTAAAATTAAAATATTTAGTACATAAAATTTTTTAAAATTGCTTTTTCATAGCAAATATAATATAACATTAGTTTAATTTAAGTAATCTTCAAAACAATATTTTGTATTATAAGTATTCTGTGAGTTTAATACATATCGATAACAACGGGTATAATAAGTGGTAAAATAAAATTACTTCTCAATAAATTAATTAATAAAAATAGCTATGAATACACTTCAGGAACAGTATTAAAAATAAGGATGCAAAAGAGAACCAACTTATAAATATATTGTTTGAATTAATTGTTGGTATTTCATTTAAAAATGTAATTTTTAATTTTTATAAAATTAGACCAATTTTTTACAATTTAGCCATATATTAACTGTAACTTTAATATCAAACCATACAAGAACTATTAGAAAATATTAATAACTTATTAACATTGGCAAAATTAAGTAATGTTTATAGCGTGCAGTAATAATGGTACAATCTTAAATTTGTACAGGAATGCACTGACTCAGTTTAGTACCGGCCTTTAATTTACCATTACGCGTTACAATGAAAATATTATAATAGATCGGTTTATAGTAGTTGACAAAGTTGCCTTTATAAATAAGAATATTAAATGTGCTAGAATTAAAAGCTTTGACCGCAAGTTGTGAACAAAATCTGGTAAACATAATGACAGAAAAGCCGAAACAAAAGTTCAAAATACTGGCCATAAGACAGAAATACTCTGCAAAAGACATTTTGGTAGAAATTTCATAAACGGTTTCGGGATTTATCGGGTATTCAATGAACACATTGACCGAACGGCTAGTGTTTAAATTCCCGTCAAATTGGGAACGTATTATGAAATCGTAATACTCTTCATAGCATTCGGTGTTTTGTGTGCAACGATTCCCGCATTCATTACTAAACTCCTGTATTTGTCGGTAATTTTGGCCAAACATTAGCCGACTATTCGTGTCATACGATTGATACTGATATGGATATTGAGTGATATTCGCGGCCAACAGTGCGGTTACGCACCGGTATATACAATCATCTCTCGTACCGGTAATCGAGCAAAAATTAGTGTTGTTTTTGACAGTAATCTTATTATACGTTAAACCGAATGAATTCTTAGACTTCATGTCCAACTCAACCGATTCCGGGCCGTCGGCCGCGTATACAGACTTCACCCGCGAATGCATATGTATTGTCAGATAATGTCTGCCATCGATGGCAAAGAGTGTGCGATTCAGCTCAAGAAGTATAAAGTCTTTGAAAGCTTTGGTCAGCCCTTTCTTCCGGTCCCTTCTCCTAAACTTCTTCCTTCCCAACCGATACTTACTGTCCGACTGGCCGTCCGTTTGCGACATAACAGTCACGCAATACATTTCGTCGCTCAGCGACTGTTTGTACGACGATATGCGGTGACAATCGGTATACGGATCATCATTATAGCCAATGGCGTCCATATTCCTCAACGCCTTACACGTCAGCCATTGATTTAACGGTATTAATGACCGGAACTGATCCCCGATTGACATTGTCTTCATTGTAGCCCTGACTTTGTTAAGCCACTCATGGTTTGTCATATTGACCATGGTCAATCCCAGCTGGCTTGAGTTAACCAGTAGTAATTTACTGACGCATAGGGTTAGTGCCGGGTATGAGTCGATTGAATTGTAGTCAACATTAAACGTGGTTTCGTATGAAAAGTATAATTCACTCATTGTATACATTAAATACAAACATCCCGTTAGGCATAGAAGTGGACAGAATATGGTCTTGTAATAAAGCATCTTGCTTAATAAAATATTAATAATATACATTAAAACTAATGACTTTAATTATAAATAATATAAATATACCTTAATTTTCTAGTTGAAAATTAATGTGTTGTTAAAATCCAGATTAAGAGTAATATAAGTTATAAGTTATACACAAAAATACTCGCAGTTTATGAAACAAGAAATTGCTATAATTTATGCAATAATATATTATTAAAATTTAATTATTTATATTTGAAAATAATATTACTTCAAATATATTGGACAAACCTACTTTATAAATAATAAAGTAATGAAATTTCGTCAATTAAATTATTTTCAACAACAATATTTGTATTTATATTGTAAAAGTATTGTAATACATATCATTTAATATTATATATTTTATATATAAATTAAAATAGTAGTAAACAAATTTGTATGAATTACTTTAATATTGATTTAATTGTAATAAAGATTTAACTGATTATTACAGAACACATGCAATATTCTAATAAATTAATAGGAAGTATTATAATAAATAAGTAATATAATTAATTAATTTTTTTTGTCAATATACAGTATAATGCTTCATTTAATTGTTTATAATAAATAATGCAATTTATTTAATTTGTCTATTTTATAAAATAAAAGCAATTAATCTAAAATACAATACATACACGATAACAGTACATTAAATTATACAGTAGTAGTAAATTAAGTGTTAATTAAATAATTAATTTCAAAATATTAAACATATGTTTAATACAAACACACCTCGAAATTGCTATAACAAGCTATTAATTAATAGTCCAATAGATAATTCGTTAATATTAGTGATAAAACAAATAATCAAATTTTTGTTTTATAATTAACTCATAAAAATATTACATAAGTTTAGTAAAAAAAACTTTAAATAAGTTTTGCTTCATTTTCCCAATGATATACATGTTTGTGATAACACCTTATATTGCAATTTATGACATTTTTCTACCATATATAGCGATTTTTATTTTATTTGTCAAGTATTTTCATTAACAGTAGTTGCAAAATACTATTTTGTTGAAAAGTGTAGTACATATTTTAAATTGCATTGTTTTACGAGTTAAAATTAACTAAATTTTTAAATAATTGTAATTTTTTTGGAATCGCTACCAAGATAAAATAATTATCAAATCAGCTACTTAATTAATCATTTACATTGATAAAACATTACAGTTTATAGATGTACGTAAATATGTGAAATACAACATAACAAATTAATTTCATGTGATAAAACATGATTGATTTTTACCAAACTAATGATAATAAATAATATAAATATACTGTATAATTATAAGTCCATTAATCATGGTAAGTCGCATTCAATATAAAGGCTTTATAAAATTCTTTATAAAAGCCAGACATCAGACCATTAAATACAAGATAATAAATATTTTATAGCAGTGTTGGTAAAATCAATAGTAATTATAATTTGTAAAATATTTAAAAGTATATAAGTTAGATTAAATTAAATACAATAAATTAACATGGACCATAATTTAACGGTGTTATTTGTGCCGATCGACGCCGTGGGTCACGTCAACGCATGCGTTGGTATCGCCGAAGTGCTCATACAAGCGGGACATCGGGTAGTGTTTGTGGTGAGCGACCAATGGAGGGGTCGGCTCACAAAATACGGCATCCAAGAGATACTGCTTACCGAAGAGGGTCGGGACGGGTCGGTAGATCCGGGCCGGGAATGGGCCGAACGATTTGTGTCTGATGGAGTAATTAAAAAAGGGGCAACAGCGTTGGACAATATGATCAATGTAATGCAAAACACGATGCCTTATTTATTTGAACGACAAGTATTATTGGACAAAAAGTTGGAAAGTCTACTACCGACAATTAAGCCGGATGTGATGTTTTTGGATCAACTAATAGAGTTACCGTCGGTGCTCAAGTCGAAAATACCTTGGGTGTTGGTCAACAGTTGCAATCCGCTATATCATTTTTACAGCGATGAATTACCACCAGCAATCTCAGGTTTATATTAATTTGTAATTAATTAATAATATAATTAATAGATAATAAATATGTAATGTAGATAAAAGTTACTTGATTTAAATAATGTATAACTAAAAATATATAATATATTTAAAATTACATTTTGTTAATTAAAATCTAAGGTTTGGCAGCGATTGGAGCAAAGAGTGAATGGAAAGCATTCAGAGACGAAGCGAATAGAGTTAAGGCTGGGATTAGAGATGACTTCAATCGCTATCTATTGGATAACGGATGCGAACCAATAGATTATAAAGATATGACATTTTTTATCAATCATTCAAAGTATTTGAATATTTATAGCTATCCATTGGAATTGGATTATCACGATATGAAACCATTGCCACCAAAATGGCATCGATTTGATAATCTCAAGCGTCAGGAAAAGCACGTAATATTTGAATTACCCATGAAGTTGAGGGACAGACCGGGAAAACTCATATACTTTTCATTGGGATCTATGGGTGCGGCAGATGTGGACAATATGAAGAGATTAGTCAATATTTTGTCCAAATCTAAGCACAGATTTATCGTATCGAAAGGACCGCTTCATAACAAGTTTAAATTGGCAGACAATATGTGGGGCGAGGGGTCTGTCCCACAGATACAAGTCTTACCGTTAGTTGATTTGGTCATAACCCACGGCGGGAACAATACTGTCACCGAAACCATGTATTTCGGTAAACCTATGATTGTTTTGCCACTTCTCGGCGATCAATGGGATAACGCACAGAGAGTTGAGGACAAGGGGTTTGGTATACGACTCGATGCCTACAAGTGCTCCGAAGAGGAGTTATTGAATGCAATCCAAAGTCTATTAAATAATAAGGAATTGAATGAAATGTTGTTGAAAATATCACAAAGAATACAATTGGATAATAGTATCGCAAGTCTTCCCGAAATGATTGAGAAACTTGTGGCCAAAATGGATATTAATAATAATTAAAAATTCACATAAAGAATAACTTGGTAGCTCAACATTAAATAAAAAATACCATGTACAGTAGTTTTGTTTTATAATTATTTCTAATAATTACTAGTTATCTATATAATTATTAATTGATAAGTTAGTAAGTGATTTAAATTGCTAATAATTAATTGTTGTTTCATCAGGACAGTTAATGTAGGTCACAGAATTATTCTATAAGCTTATCCAAAAAACTGTCACTAAATATGTTTATTAAATATTAAATAACATATATTTTTTATAATATTTATTATGGTATCGTTTTCGCAGCTATTTTCTTTGTATAAAATACTTTTATATTTTTATTTTGTAATTAAAATTTTTTTATTGCTAGTCATATGAATTGGTATTTTTTGCATCCTTTTTCTATGCGGTCGACCCAAATGCCGATAACATCAATATTTGCAACATTTTTTATTTTAGATTTTTATATTTCTCAGAAAATTTTAAATTTTAAAGATAAATCAACTAAAATATAAAAAGTCATAAATTAATATTACAATAATAATATCTAATTTACTTAAATTTAATAACTTGTTTTATCTGAATTACTTTTATTAATTAAATTGCACTAGGATGCAATAGCTTATTGATAGTTAATTAAAATTTATTTTAAAATAGCAAATTTGTTAATAATGGTGATGTAAAAGTTAATTTAAAAGTTGTTTATTGTAATATATATTTATATACCAAATAATTTGCACAATGGTAGCATAGTTAAATGTTTGATTAATTTAATAAATTGTTAAATTATTTGTATTTATTAAAATTGTTTGTTAATTTTGTAATTCTAATCAAATAATTATTACAGTAATAGAATATGGCCTCGTATTGTAATCCAGTTACATTATTAAAACACTTTGGTTTAAATTAATAGTTATTTTTAAATTTTATTGCAGTTTGTAAACAACTTAACCAGTGGAATAAATTAGATTAAAAATTAAATAATTACTATTTATTTGTATTATGCAAATTAACGAAAAATTTTGGCAAACAGTAATAAAATACGTAATGCTATATTTAATACATTGATTATGTGTTTGGAAAGTGTTAATGGAGCAGTAATTCAATTCATATTTATAAATTAAAATTATATTTTACGACAATTAAAAAATAAAAGTATTACATTAAATACCGCTACTTTTTATATCAAATACACAAAATATCCCTCAATTTTTAAATCCTATACTGTATTAGTATTCATACAATATATCTCTCAAAAATACCATCTAATAATAATACTAATAATAATTTGGGATATTAGTAAAATTCAGACAATAACAATATGTCTAATAATAAAATTAATTGTATAAATTATAATTGATTAATATAAATTTGCTAACGAAATTGCATTATGTTAAAGTGATAAGATGTTTGTAAATTGTAATTACTAAATTTTTATAAAATTGTACAAATAATTAAGATCTATAATTTTAGCCTAATTTAAATTTAATAATTATTTGAATTATGAAGCTTGCTGTTTGTGACCAGATATAATAGTCAATTAACTTAATAATTAAATAAAATAAAATTATCATATTTTATTACAGTTTAACTTTAAAAATATTTTTAATTTATTGTATTTTATTAGCATTCGAATTGTATTAAACCAATTGTCATTTATGTGGATTTTGTATCCATTACATTATAATTAGTTATACAATAATTTGTAAATGTTAAATTAACAGTAACATAAAATTATTGTCATAATAATAATTTCATTATTATTTAACATTTCAAAATTTTGTCTAATATTGCTGAGTTCTTGAAACTATATAAAAGCGGTGACACCCGTGTGATTTTTATGAACTAAAATTTGCACTGATATGTATTGGAGGCAAACCACTCCCTCTGTAAAAACCAACGGTCACAACATCTGATCAAACATTTGAATCTCCAATACATTTCAGTGCAAAATTTAGTTCATAAAAATCACACGGGTGTCACCGCTTTTATATAGTTTCAAGAACTCAGCAATAATAATTAAATTAAATCTTATAAAAAATAGTGTAATAAATTAATATACAGTCTGCACCGCATTTAGCAGAATCACTCGGTGAGTTCAATACTATTCTGTTAAATACGGTTTTCTGTTATTCCCGGTAATAGATTTTTGAAAATATTGCCAAAAAGGCGCTTATTTTATAAAGATAGCACTGTATTTGTGTAAAAACATGATACAAAGTAACGTTTTGTTGTTAAAACACTAATTTTAGAAACACTACAAATTGTTTTATCAATAGGGTTATGAAAAACACGAGGAAATCTAATTTTCACCATAACTATATCTGTGTATAACCCTATTCCGTTATATGTGGACCTGTTTAACATTGCACGGCATTAGTTTACTGTCTGCTATAAGCGGTATTCTGTTATAACCGATTCTGCTATTAGTGGTGCACTTATCGTTATACACCCATAGGAGCTGCCGGTGCAGCAGAAATATTCGGTTAAAAGCGGTTTTACGTTATATGTGGGACCGATAAATGCGGTGCAGACTGTATTTACATATAATCTTATATAACAAGATATGAGATAAAGTAAAGTTTCTAACTGTTTAGATCATTAGGAACCTGTAGTCATAACATACTTACATCGTACAAACAAAATATAAATGGCTCAAAGCGGTCACTATTGATCATGATGGTATATAATTTAATAAACTAATTATCAATATTTCGTTTTATCAATTTCATCGTAAATATTATGTGAACACTTCTAATGAGGTGTACTGTAGACAAACAGTAGACAAATAAAGCACTCATTTATAATTCACTTCTCATACCGTGAAATCTTTAATTGCCATTTGATATACACTTAGAAACATGTATCTGATATCGAAATAATTAAATTACAATAATTTAAACAATGTATGCATTAAAAAATTTAAATTATATTAGAAAATTAAAAACCTGGGCAAAAATATAATAAATAATGTATGCATTAAATATTTTTATATTAAATTTTTTAATAGTTTTAATAATAAATATTTTAACAATATAAAATGCTTCAAGCATAAAAAGTAAAATTACCATAGGTAATATTATACTTGTAATATAGCCATACTTATTATTAATATTTAGTAACATGTACAAAACAATATTTGAAATCAAGATTTGTTTTTGTAAATCTTGGAAATATACCGAAGACTTGTAAATGCAATTATTGCAGGATATTGTATAAGTATTAATATTAATAATAATTGAAATCCCGGTTAAGTAAATCAACTTTTCAGCGCATCCTCTGATTTATACCTCATGTATACAACATTTCACGTATATATACAATATATGAGGGAATCAATTTTGCCGGTGATGTCGCTAACATTGCATTTAATCATTGACTTTCATACATAGTCGATATAAAGGGGTCATTATATACACCTTATAAATATCGTATATAAATCGCAATTCCTGTGCATCACTTCTAAATTGATTGAAATTCATTTAAATGCAGAATATTCTGTAGGAATAATAAATCCGAGCGAAGAATTTTGCAATAAAATGTGAAAAACAAGTTTTGTTGTAAAATAAATACTGTATATATTTACAAACTGTGTGTCGCAAAATTGTTTATATGTTTTTGCTGTCAGAAGTTTGTAAACATTATAAAGAAAATCAATATATAATAAACATTCTTTTGAAAAGTGTTGAGATTTTGTGAATAACAAAATAATAGTATGAATGAAAACAGTGTCGAAGTGTTTGCTTACGGAACGGCAATAATGCCATCAAATGCAACCACAATAAGCCCGATGGATGAACTCA